AAACGTCAGCCAGGTCAAGCTGATCAAATGGCGGAAATGTCATCCTATATCATCAGAGACAACATTTGGATGTTTGTGTGATTGCCACCGACTGTGATCGAATTACAGGCTTAGAAGTAGTGATAACTTATGACGTTTCACTATTCAACTTTGCTGATTATTTGTACCCTTCAAACCGATCTGATTAATTATCTATTCAGCCTTCTCTCGAGATGCTTCAAGACTTCATCCTGGCGTATAAAAACAGAGGACAGGACAAGATTGATCTTCTAAAGTGATGCTCGTAGTTCGTTCGTGGATGCATTTATGTCAGCACATTCTCTGCTTGCTGTAAACATGCAACTTGCATAAACATGACCGTATACGATGTATTCCATGCATCCAATGGCGGACCTGAGACAACAAGTGATCATATCCAGAAGAACTAGCCAACTTGGTGTTAAAAAAAACAGTGAAGATGGATTGCCGTCTAAATACCTCGGATCACCATCTAGTCATCTGCAGCTTGAAGATTCCAGCAACAGTTTGGTTTTCAGAAGGCCTATCTTCCTGTCACGCCTCGTTCTTGGTTCAAGAGACAGTACTACATTATCTTGAAAGGGGAGGTGAAACTTAGGTGGTATTCATAGACAGTTTGACACCTTTCGATATAGTATGGATCTCCGAACTCCTGTGGAATTTCCACCACATGGGTTTAGACATAGCTGTATGGCATCTCTTTAGGCACGAAGAGCTGTCCTCAGAATCAACATCAAGCCCTACTGGTTCGACTTGGACAGGGGCGTCAGGCAAGGGAGTGTTATCTGCAAAGCTCTATCTGGTGTACATCAATGCCCTTCTGAGCCACCTCTCTTCCTCACAAAGTACCCATGAATCTCCACGTAGCTGCCAAACGTAGGTCGATGACATCATGCTTAAAAGTCCTATTACATCTCACTTACAAGAGACGGTTCAAGTGTGTAAACAATACAGCGCCAAATGGAGTTTTGTGTTTTCAGCTGCCAAAAAGCAATGTCGTGATTGTCAGTGAGTCCAAAGCAGACAAGAAGTGCAAGATAGTTTTACAGGGAGAGGAATTTCCCATTGCTAACCGTGTCAAGCATGTTGGCATTAAAATGAACCACAATATTAATTTTCACACCAGATATTTGCAATGCCCTGATTGGGTTCAACTCTGTCGAATCCTCCAGAGATTTGTGCCTGGCATGAACCGTGAACTGTGTGATTACTGTAACTCTCCTATGGAGGACTCAGGATCATAATAATTGTATCTCAGATCCCATATGACAATCACTGGATTGTCTGGTCCAGACTGGATTATTTACAGTTGGTTGGTTGGTTTGTTGAATAACGTCGCACTCAGCAATATTCCAGCTATATGCCGGCGGTCTGTAAATAATCGAGTCTGGACCAGACAATCCAGTGATTAATATCATGAGCATCGATCCAAGCAATTGGGATCAATGACATGCATCAATCAAGTCAGCGAGCCTGACCACCCGATCCCGTTAGTCGCCTTTTACGACAAGCATAGTCACCCTTTTACGGCAAGCATGGGTTGCTGAAGACCTATTCTACCCCGGAATCTTCACGGGTCTTTGACATGATACATGAGAGTTGATACTGTGAAGATTGATGAGGCAGAGGCTTTATTGGGGGAACTGTGGTAATTTGGAACAAATTGTTGTGATTGTAGACCTTTGTTAACAACAGTCATCATATTTAAATCATGATCATGTTTGTTGTTGAATAAAACATGGAGGCTGCCACAAGTGGTGAGGTGAAATTAGGTTTAACATTTCAACAGTAACTCGCTGCTGCATCGGAAAACCAAAGGGGAAACAAGCATGGAGTAATCGAGACCATTTTCTGCCCTTTATTTGAGTGAGTGAGTGAGTGAGTGAGTGAGTGAGTGAGTGAGTGAGTGAGTTTAACGCCGCTTTAAAAACTATTCCAGTTACATCACGGCGTGTCAGCTTAATGTGGGAGGAAAGCCCGAAGTAATGCAGGTCTCAGACGTTTACCACTTCGGTGAAACCCACGAGCACGGGTATGGCGCTGACAAACCTAGAAAATCGGGGCGAACCGGGATTCGAACCCACAATCATAGGTTTCTGGCGTGCCCAAGGGACGCAACTCTGAACAGCGAATCGCGGCGCCTTAGACTACTGGGCCACCCGTGCCCCCATAAAAATGAAGCCAGTGTTTTGTGTTATGCCTTGAATTTCAAAGGAGCATCGCCGAACTACCCTCGTTCACTCTACTGTATCCTCACATATTCAACATGGAGACGGGTTGGTCACACTGACTGCTGAATCTGTGCGTGCATGAACAGGTTTGATCAGCATTTAGTTGCGGATAAGCTTTTGTAAAAATCACCTCTGGTTTATTCCGCCCATGACTGATTTTACTGTAGGCCCCATTGATAACTTTGTACTATTTGTGTCTACGACGTTCACTCTCTCATTAAGTGTATCGTCATGGTAACGGATATATCCCAATAATTGATCAGGATTTCGCTAATTGGTACGGTGCCAAATTTCATGATTTCATGTGTAACCTGGGTTCGAGTGGTAACAGATTCAGATTCGTTCTACTTCTCAACACCACCAACGGTGGTACCAGAGCTACATAGTACAAACTATACATTGAAAGAATATACATGAAACTGGTGCATATGAAGGGGTAGTTAAGTCAATTTAAGGTATTGAAAAAAGCTTACATATATAAGATGACTAAATTTAACCACGAATGCTATCTGATGGGATGTATACAGGTTGATGTTGGTAAAGAGATTCACATCTAAAAAGATAGTGAAACTCATCTCCGACTACATTTCAACTGCACAATTTACATAATCTATTTTCCCTTGATATATTCTACCATCTGCCAGGTTCAATCGGTAGGTTATGATCTGATGTTATAACAAAGTGTGATTGAGACTTTACAGTGTGTGAGTGAGACTTTACAGTGTGTGAGTGAGACTTTACAGTGTGTGACCGAGATTTTACAGTGTGTGAGTGAGACTTCACAGTGTGTGACCGAGACTTTACAGTGTGTGACCGAGACTTTACAATGTGCGACCGAGACTTTACAATGTGTGCTTTACAGTGTGTGACCCAGATTTTACAATGTGTGACTGAGACTCTATAGTGTGTGACCGAGACTTTACAAAGTGTGCTTTACAGTGTGTGACCCAGACTTAACAATGTGTGACTGAGACTCTAGAGTGTGTGACCGAGACTTTGCAATGTGTGCTTTACAGTGTGTGACCCAGACTTTACAATGTGTGACTGAGACTCTATAGTGTGTGACCGAGACTTTACAATGTGTGCTTTACAGTGTGTGACCAAGACTTTACAGTGTGTGACCCAGACTTTACAATGTGTGACTGAGACTCTATAGTGTGTGACCGAGACTTTACAATGTGTGCTTTACAATGTGTGACCCAGACTTTACAGTGTGTGACCGTGTGCCGACAAAGTGTGACTGGGAGGTTCCAACATGTGATTTGACTAACAGTGTGGCATCTCCCCCCAACAGCGGGGATCGTTGAGCCAATCTGGTTTACCTGGTCCAGACTCAGTCATTCACAAGCCGCCGTGATAGAGCTGGAATATACGGCTGACTGAATACAAAACACCAGCGATCGAATAGAAATTGGCACAATCCGTTCAAATGGAGCAAGGCAAGGCAGCGGTATGTTCAAATACCAAACAATTGAAAATACAATGCTGACCCATAGTGTAAAGCCTACCATAGCGCTTACATTCACCCCGTGTGTAGTATAATTATTAGGTAGTAGAAATAAAACCGCTATCTCCTATTTTGACATAAGAACAGTGATCGAAATTGCTCAAATCTAGCGATTAAACAGACTCGCCATATAAAACAAGTTTTTATACTTACATCGAGAAATATCAAAAGAAAAATTTGACTTCCGATTGTGTGCAGCTGTTGATGAGGTTGTGGTTTCACGTTTGGACGTATGCCAGGGTGGTCACATGCTCAGCCGTAACGATTAAAGTGAAAAACGACCATAACGATAATATCCCGCAATGTTGAGTATCACATTAGCTAGAACCTCTGCAGTGATGTGTATGAAGTAAAGTTGGAACATGGATGTTTTTGCAGCGAGTCTTGTTTTGATCATTCTTCCACAATTACGTTCTCTGATGGAGCAGCCGGATGTAAGTGTAATTCTCACCTTCTCACTCTCAGTATGCAGGACATACTCAATATTCTAGACATTCTCATCACCCCAAACATTCTCGGTATTCTAGACATTCTCATCACCCCAACATTCTCAGTATTCTGGACATTCTCATCACGTCAAACATTCTCGGTATTCTAGACATTCTCGTCACGTCAAACATTCTCAGTATTCTAGACATTCTCATCACGTCAAACATTCTCAGTTTTCTAGACATTCTCATCACGTCTAACATTCTCGGTATTCTGGACATTCTCATCACAACAAATACTACAGTATGCAAGATATTCTCATCATCCCAAACATGCTCAGTATTCCAGACATTCCCATCAACCCAAACATTCAATAGCGCTGAACATTCTCATCACCCCAGAAATTTCCAGCATGTCAGATATTCTCATCACCCCAACAGTCTCAGTATTCTAGACATTCTCATCAAGCCAACATTCTCAGTATGCTAGACCTTCTCACCACCCCAAATATGTTCGGTATGCTGATATTCCCATCACCCAAAACACTTCAGTATGCAAACCATTCTCATCACCCCGAAATATTTTCAACATGTCAGATATTCTCATCACACCCGTATCAATGTGCTATACATTCTCACCACGCCAAACATTCTCAGTAATTGCAATTTTGCTAATACTAATATTGCGGTGTAAAACCATACTCACTCATTTTTCACTCACTATGCTAGACATTGTCAGTACGTTATCACAAAATACTTTGTTAACATCAGCAGAAAACATCTTATCATCTACAAATGATAACAAACACAAATTCGTAGGCATTTTAAATTTATTGACGTCAGCAAATAACGAGACACATCCCTTTAACATCACAACCTTTGGTAGCCATGGTTACGGTGGGAAATCACACAGTTTGATATTTTGGCAATAGCGATGGATGTGATTGGTTAAAGGTGTAATTTGATGAGCAATATGTTGAATATATAGATGTACTTGTGACCCTTATATAGTAAAGATGGTTTATATGCAAAAATAATGATAAATGTTTTGGAGTTCCTAATGAAAAATTGAACTTAGAAATATATGTTATCCTCCAGATAAAGCGTCCATGTTTCATCACTCCAAACGTGTGAATATACTGCGAGCAGCTAGAGCAGTAGGTTGGTGGGTCGTACATACAGTACATCTCATATTGATTCAGCAGAGGCATTTAAAGTGATATTCTCTAAAATAAATATGATTTTTAAAATACTTCAGAACATAATATTTGCGTGAGGATATGTTGTCTCGGCTCTTTCCGTAAACGACTGCTACGGAAAGTGCCGAGTGATATGATACAGCTACCATATATGGACATTTCCTAAAACCGTCGAGCTCTTTATCGTCATACCAACACGCACATACACCAATAGGGAGTCACATCGAAAAACCAAAATTGTTCACACGTCAACAGATTATTACTTTTCTTTTTACTCAGAGAAATGTGTAAACAAGTTTGGTTTAGGGTTATGTTTCATTTCAGTGATGCATGTAACATCGAGATCACGGGGAAGAAAATTAAGCGAGTGGGATACCAGATCGTGGGGATGGAATAAACACTAAACATTATGCACAATCTAGCACGAGATAATTTTACATTTCTACAACATTGCACATCCACAGAAAAATAAATTGGTTGTTGTCTATTCATGTATGGAGATAATTTGTATTTAGTCCCTTTCAATAAATATATTTCACGTTTTCCTAAATATTCCTTTTCGCAGACTTGCCACAGCCATGAACGTCTTTGTACAACACGTGACAAGACACATCACATCCGGTGTTCACATCTCGTCCGTACCGAGAGACGGTGAGATCACAGATACGTCACGAGACGTGTTTCTCCAGATGTTAAAGTACAGTTTGATAGAAGTTACTCTGTCTTCCCAACTTCGATCTTCCTATCAAATTGAAGCTTTATTTTTTCCTGTACTCCTGAAAGCAAGAACGAAATACACCATTAGAAATTCTGCATCATGAAATACGATGTACATGTTTGTTTGTTTGTTGTTTAACGCCGCACTCAGCAATATTCCAGCTATGACGGCGGTCTGTAAATAATCGAGTCTTGGCCAGACAATCAAGTGATTGACATCATGAGCATGAATCCACGCAACTGGGATACCATGACATGCATCAACCAAGTCTGCGAGCCTGACCACCCGATCCCGTTACGCGCATCTTACGACAAGCATGCTTGCTAACGACCAATTCTGGTCCGATGGAATCCGATGTAAATGATGAAGGCCATGCTGACATGTTACAATCGGGGTGTTCATCTTTAGTGATGAACAGCGACAATTTGACACCCACCGAAATATCCTGAGGCTTACTCATCCTCGAGATTTCAGGGTATTATATATCTATTCTATTTTCATAAATACCCCTGACCCATACGCCACCATGGTTTCGTTTCGAAGGGACGTCCCCACAACCAAAGGTTGGTTGGTTGGTTTGTTGTTTAACGCCGCACTCAGCAATATTCCAGCTATATGACGGCGGTCTGTAAATAATCGAGTCTGGACCAGACAATCCAGTGATTGATATCATGAGCATCAATCCACGCATTTGGGATCGATGACATGCATCAACCAAGTCAGCGAGCCTGACCACCCGACCCCGTTAGTCGCCTTTTACGACAAGCATAGTCACCTTTTACGGCAAGCATGGGTTGCTGAAGAACTATTCTACCCCGGAATCTTCACGGGTCCCACAACCAACGGTCCTTTTTCTGACTAAGCACAGCTTTTATCGCGCCTAGACCGCCTCTGTGGTCTAGTGGTAGAGCGTCATACCAAAAGACGTTAAAAGATGGTACTTGTTGTTTCCCTGTCTGGTGCTCGGCATTAAGGGGCTAAAACAAGGACTGGTCGGCTCGGAGTTTATGTTAAACTGAGGCATGGTATCTCAGTGTGCTAGCACTATAAATCGGCATCACTCCTGACTAGTACAAGCAGCCACACACACACACACACACACACACACACACACACACGTGCACGCATGTCGCTATATAAGTGTAATAATCCTGGACGCGACGTTAAGCCCAGATTCACCTCACCTCACCGTCTATCGCGCCCATGAGCGTAATTTGATAAGATGGCAATTTTAAACGTCCGATTGGGTCCAGTATATTTATCCAAATATACTACTCAAAAGTAGTTAAGGACCATCACGATGTAGAGGCTATGCAATTTCCATGACAGATTACTAGAGTAATATGAAAGAATCGTGTGGTCCTTAACTTATTTTAAGTAGTATAGAATAGTGAGTATGGTGTTGATAACTACTGATTCCTAGTCGCTTCCCAACGTACCTCGTAGTATGGGGAATCTTCAGACAGCGCACTGGCGAGGGCCAAGAGTCTTTTATAGGCCTGCTCATAGTCCCGTTTCTGTTGAGGGATGAAGGCTCCCCAGTGTGTTTGGGGCTCCCGGCTGAAGGGATAGAAGTACCTCTTCCTGATGCCTGGCAGGTTGCTCATCATCTGGCGTTTGCTGGGCACGTACTCCGGCTCCTCCTGCTGCTCCACCTCCTCGTATGTCTCAGGGTAGGACTCTTCCACTGGGTACCGCTCGTACGGCTCGTAGGCTGCCACCTGGGGTGCCTGCTGGTACATGTCTAATAGGGTGGCCACCTCGTCTTCGTACCTCGGCTCAGGACGGTACAGCTCGTACAGATCCTCCGCGGTGAGCTGTTGGGGGTAGCCTTCTTCATCTCCGTAGGAGTAAGCGTCTATATCGTCCAGGAGGTCTCGCTTGATCCTCTTGGAGCGCTTCACCTCGTTGTGTATCATGTCCCCCTCTGTGATGGCACGGCTACGTCTCGAGCTGCGACGACGGCGGTAGGGGTAGTAACTGAGATCGTAGGGGTAGTAGTCTTGCTGTGGGGGGTCATTGTTGCGTCCCTTCTCTGTAAGAAGATGGCAGGGTTACAGAAACTAACCTTGTAATGGTAAAGGATCAGATGAGTATTATCTACGTAGATGATACATTTTTATTTAGACTGTGGTACTAATACGCTTATAGATAAGGGACTGACGATTTAATATTATTGGGCGCCTAGCATTAGAATATTGTTTCAGTGCTTCAAAACATACAGTTTCTTTTCACTGAAAAGTGTAATTATCTTTTCCAAGCATTTAAAGAAAAAACAAGGTCCTCCCTAGAATATGAAATTATCGGCCCCTAACACACTACAATACATCCTGCCAACATGACATTTGAAAAGAATTGCGTTATAGATTGAAATTGTTTTCTTATTACATATTCAATAATCTATGAGAGATTTGTCTCTCTGTTGAGTGACGATGAGTGATGGCCACTGTTTTCCGTCGAATATGATTGACATATAATATATGACAATATGAAAATGCACACTGTTGCAAAATACCATGTTGGTCTCATCAAGTGAATGCAAAAATATTAAATGCATTCTTGACAGTTGCATACAAATGTATACAGTCTTACAAATATTTTTCTTCTTCCCCATTCACTCGATAAGGCGAACGTGTTATGAAGTGTGAATATCCGCATTTGAGATTTGAGCAGATACTGGTATCTGGATAAGTGCGGTATAACAACAAAAACAACATTACTTATAATAATATCCACAATGTATTTCTGTCTCCTCTTCCCCGCAGTCTTACCATTTTCCCTCATGTAATAGTATAGGTCCAGGAGCGGCGTGTTCACATCGTTGTCAGCTTGAGCCACAGCTGTACCTTCTGAGTCGTCTGTCTGCTCAGCACCTTCACCCTCCTCCTCAGATTCCACCTCTTCCTCCTCAGCCGGCACATCGTCAACAGGAGCCCCAACAGGACCTTCCCCCTCATTGCTGTCGGCCAATATGTCCTTCAGTTCTTCCTCCACAGAGTCAGCGTCAACCTCGCTGCCTGCATCGCCAACCGGGCCTTCTGGCAGCTGTTGTGTAATGACGGGAACAACCGGCGCAACCTGTTCCTGTTCTTGATTGTCGTCTGCTTCCACTGCCGTCTGCTCCTGGGCGCTGCCGGCTACCTGATGCTCTTCGGGGATGAAGTCTTCCTGTTTAGCGGGTACTGCGATGACGGAGCCCTGTTTATCTAAGCTACTGTCGTCTGCTATGACGGGGACGGCGGGATCACTCTTCTTCTTTTTTAAACGAGGGTCGTTCTGTTGGTTGCCGAACAGGATCGCCTCCTGGTCGCGCTTGGCTGCAACGATAAGGAGGCGAATACAGACAGTGTACACAGTTTCAACAGTTTCAACACCACTACCTGATAGACATTTTATTTGGTATCCATCGATCATGCAGATACGATATCAACCCATTTGTGGCGCGTTGGGGGCACCCTAGTGGTTAAAGCGTTCGCTCGTCACGCCCAAGACCGGGTTCGATCCCCCACATTGGTACATGTGTGAAACCAATGTTTGGTGTTCTCCGTCGTGAGATTGCTGTAATACTGATAGAGGCAGCATAAAACCACTCACTCACTCATGCTAATAATGCCCCATGCATTCACCGCTTTCTGAGTTTCTGAACACTGTAAGGCTGTTACCTGGGTGAATGAATTGAGATTAAAATTTAATTCTTCCCAATCTGCCTGAATAATTATTAAGTTGTGAGTGAGGGAGCTTTACATTTTTTTTTCAGCCACTGAGTGCCAGCTTGATGTGGGAGGAAAGCAAATATGACGTACGTAGGCGTTTATCCCTTTACAGAAACCGGTTTCGTGTAAGACCGAAGATCATAATCGGACCGTTTGGGTTGGAGCCCACGATCATCGGTTCATGGCATGTTATTATATATACTACTCAAAAGAAGTTAAACAACACGCGATTATTTCATATTACTAGAGTTAATCTGTAGTACCGATTTTTTCATATTACTAGCCGAAATCTGAAGTACCGATTCTTTCATATTGCTAGCCGAAATCTGTAGCACCGATTGTTTCATATTGCTAGAGTTAATCTGTAGTTCCGATTCTTTCATATTACTAGCCGAAATCTGTAGTACCGATTCTTTCATATTACTAGCCGAAATCTGTAGTACCGATTCTTTCATATTGCTAGCCGAAATCTGTTGTTCCGATTCTTTCATATTACTAGCCGAAATCTGTAGTACCGATTCTTTCATATTACTAGCCGAAATCTGAAGTACCGATTCTTTCATATTACTAGCCGAAATCTGAAGTACCGATTCTTTTATATCACTAGCCGTAATCTGTTGTTCCGATTCTTTCATATTACTAGAGTTAATCTGACATGCTATAATAACTATAGTAATAAGAAAGATCCGGGTGTTCTTTAACTTCTTTTGAGTAGAGGATAGTAGAGTCCGTGGACAGCACTGAGGGAGGCGAGTAGACACACTCACGTTTCCGGTTTACCCTTTAGACGTTCACATAGTGTAGACTATTCCTGCGACTCCTTCCCCTGTTTGTTAAATGTCACAATGTGAGAACTTAGCTGGTAGGATGCATCGAAAAATCAATTTAATACAAAAGCGTGACGTGTGGCGACATTCGACATTTCCTAGCGCAATGTTACGACGGACAAACGAGGGCAATATAGATCTATATACACCAGCGAGGCCACGCCCTTTCCATCCGTGCCCCCTGATCAAGGAACCCCACATACATCCTTAGAGCGGCTCTATCACTGGACAAGGACTATAGTTTGTTTGTTTTTAACGCCACATCCGGCAATCTTCCACCTATATGACGGGTATGTAAATAATCGAGTCTTGACCAGACGCTCAAGTAGTTGACATCATTAGCATCGATTTACGCAACAGGATACGATGACATGCGTCAACAACGTCAGAGAGCCTGACCACCCGATCTCGTCGCCTCTTTCGACAAGCCTTGGTTGCTGAAGACCAATTCTAACCCGGATCTTCTCAGGTCGACTATATTTTGAAAGAAACGCTGTACATATCTAACACCATGTATGTCTTCCTGAACATAACTACGCGTTGCTACAACAGGAATGACGCCCACGATAGAGCTTGATCTAGCGTCTTAAACATACAACATGAATGCCGTGATTATAGGTTGGTGTAGATTTCCACACAAAACTATAGATCCTTGAGCAAATTGATTTACCATTCTGCGTTGGGCAAGAATTTGCTTCATTAGTGGAATCCATCGCTTTGACGGTACGAAAATAAACGGAAAACAAATCTATTAATTGACAACCAGAGAGGTAAAACATGTGAACATCCCACCAAAGCATGCTCTAGGCGATACATTTCTCGGGATTTAGTTACGAATGTACGTAGACGGGTTAGACGTTACCATGGCAACGGAACATACAGAGTAACCTGTCGTGAATATGCTGAACTTTAATATTTAGATCAGACACACAAACCGGAAAATTTTGAAATCTGCTTCACTAAATCTTATTCTGAAAGTGTCCAAATATATTTTTTCATATTCCACAATATTTGTGTAGTTATGCTAGTATATTTGATGCATGAACAGTAGGTTGTTAGTGGCTTCTGGTTCAGTGCCAAAGAAAGGAAGAACATAAGTGAGGTAAATTACATATATCGTGTCACTGTAAACTTCAGTGTAATAAAATATATGGACAGACCCATACTGCCACCTTCATTAGTCCATTGACAAGGTTGTTATTGACATTCTAAAATTTAACAAATAATTAATTAATGTCCTACCACGACTAAATAGGAACAGCCAACCTATATTCGGCTTTCAATTTGATGTCATAAATGACACATCACATGACATATTTTAACCCCTTTACAGAGCTTCATATTTACTGAAAATGTTTAACTTCGCTGAACCTAAGCATCAGATATACAATATCCTCTTTCTTAGACACAGGTTTTACAATTTTAAGGCTGTTGTAATGTCCTTCAGTGAAACACGGGAACATGGAGTTCCCTATCACAACATGCGCACTGTTCCCGATCAGTCTGCATGGGGCTATGCACTCCAAGCCTCGTTTTCGATCCAAGAAGGCGAAAGTGTGAAAAAGGTCAATAGTTTAGATAAGAACCTGTCTAAATGCAACCGTTCACCGTAATCGATGGGATTGTCTATGAGTGCTGACCAGGTTGGCACATTTAGTTTGTCACTTAACAAGTGTTTGCACCCCCGCACCCCCATCCCCACCACCCCCACACCATTATTTATGTACGAATGAAATGCATTACAGAATTCCCCTCTCAAAAATCAATAAGGAATACTTTAATAAATCATTAATAAATACCAATGGAGAAAAACCCTTTGTCTTGTCTATTATCTAAAACAATCTTGGTAAGTGTTATATTTATGAACATGAACAGATACACGCCGAACAGCTGACTCACCGGCCCCGTCTCCTCATCGTGAATATAAACTGTCGGGCAAAAAAAAAGTATACACTTAAAAATGTGATTTGGACAAATCGTTCTCAAAACATTACTAGGATGAAGACACTGCAAACTTAAGATCCAAAACACAACTATGGCATCCATATCGAATACATCGCCATTGAAAAAACATTTCTTGTGTTTAATTTTAAGCCACCACCAAACATGGGTGTATACCTTCTTTTGCCCAGCAGTGTATGTGCTAATCAGACTCTCTAGAAAGACGGATGGCTTTCTGAAAGACGCCCCTTTATCAACAAGGTCATCGGGTAAGAGGTACTTGTCGATTTCGTCGTTCTAATGAATTTTCGAAACTTTCGCATTGAATCATTATCAAAACACTTAATGTACCTAATGGTACCAAGATCGATAGTCAAACGTGTTTAATGCATTTTATTCGTTACTTAACCCACCGTAAATCTGAATCACTTCTAGAATGTTTTCGTGGATTCTCGTCTTCAAAACCGTTCAAGTACAGACCCAGGAGCGTCGATGGTTCTGCCCCGTACTAAATAATGGCAAGCAGACACCTCTAGTCACTGGAGGGTGATGAAAGCCGACCACAGGGCCTCTTGGCTGGAATACATTGTCCGAAGAACGGTGACTTATTGGCAGGAGGTGGTGGAGACACCCTTTGGCTCAGTGTATAATGGCTTCTGTGTACATGGTTTACAGGCGCTGTCCTTGTTCCAGAGTGGAGAAGGATTTTGTGCCGGTTGGCTTGTTAGGGATGTTTGTATGTAACTTAACGCCACCAGCGATATTCCAGCTATATGACGGCGGCCTCTAAATAGTATCACAAGACATTCCTGTAATGAATATTATGAATATAAGCGACAAACCCCTTTCCATAATCTGCTGTACGATTCCGACAATTCCGACTACATCATGTATTTATGGATCGATGCTCATGATGTCAATCACTGGATTGTCTGGTCCAGACTCGATTATTTACAGACCGCCGCCATATAGCTGGAATATTGCTGAGTGCGGCGTTAAACAACAAACAAACAAACAAACACTATCAAATAGTGCTCCCTTGCCACCCTCTGGGGAGTATACAAGCCCCACCAGCATTCATTCTCACCCTGTCGGGTACCCATCGCTTCTGATTAAATAGATGACGTAATATTGTGCCAGTCAATTCACGGTGGGCGTGTTACACAGCTGGTTATATTTCAGCCAAATCACACATCATAACTATGTGGGAAATCGAACGCGGATTTTCCATAAAGAGCCAAGGCTCTCTTAGGTGTTTTAATCAGATTCGTTCTTGTTCTACGAAGAACTATCTTTATGTTTGAAAATAAAAAGTGTTCAGAGAAACTAATGAGGATTATAAATATATACAATTACGTACGAAATAGGACAAAAACAAATTAGGACAATTTAACTATATTCATGTTTCAATAAAAATTACGTGAAAACAATTTATTTTACATGCTTTTAAAAATGTCCAACACAATCTCGCTAGGGCACACCAGAAATGGGCTTTCCATATTGTGTCCTAGTACTACGGGGCTCCTGCGTGCAAGACGTGAAGAACGAACGCTTTAACCACCAGGCTACCAAACCGCTCCGTTTCACGTTTGAATAATGTAAGGAATAGGGAACTAAGACTAAGAAAAGGGTAAAGAGTTTTCACCGGCAATCACACCAACACACCCGCGCTGCGTGTCAACGTGGCTCGCGGGGATCGAGAAGCCTTTAATTATCAGTGGTGAATTAGAAACAAGCCTGCTCAGTCTCTCTGAGCCCCAGGATTAGACCATGTAGCATTTCAAGGTGAGCGATCAAGTTAGACCTGGTTTCTTTGGCCTAAGCATTTTCTTCACATTCTAATTAAACATACTTTGTCAAAGGTTTGTTAAGTTTCTTGTGTAGACGTAAATTAGGAAGAACTTAAAACCAACTTAACGCGACCGACCTCAGTCTGTGTGGCGCGCCATTGATGGCTACGTCACGAATGAAGTAACAATTATATTTGGAAATCGTACTCGATAAATTTGTAAATGATATCTGAAATAATGTCAGATAATGAATATATATTTTTTAATCGTATAAAAAAGAAGTCTCATTTTACAACATAAATTTATGTGTTTCATAATCATTTCTAATAAATCCTAACCAGTAAACCGTTGATTCATTCCGATTGCGATTTGGCAAGTCTCTAAATCCACAATTAGCAACGGATTGTTCTCAGAAGGCGAGAGTTTATTTTTTCCGTCCTCCCAGTGGACTCGACCTAGGGTAAGGTAGAATACGTCACGGACGCCCAATTAGATGAAGTTGTATCACATCCCTGCCTCCGCGAGACTGTATCAGCCATATTCTGTCGGAGTTGTTTCTGAGACTGCGCCAGTCCAGATCTACTGAGTCTTGTTCGCCACGTTTGTCTGGGACTGTCACCACGCTAAAACACGGCTTCGATTGCCGATGCTGGTTGATGTTTGAGTCCCAGCCCCCCACGTCGTCACCTCTATAGAGGATTGATAATAGGGACGAAAACTCATTTCTCACTCACGTCAATTCGGACAACCATAGATAGAACGGTACCGTCGTATTAACGAGTTTTCGCTGCCTGAACTCCATCTCGATGTAAATATGGATACATCTTCGGTCTTTATACCATGTAGCTTTGTTGAAGGCCCACAGTGAACCAAAATTGTAAACCTATAGAAAGTGTGTTTTGTGTTGTGATTGGCTAATTTGGGTCACATGACCAAATGTCAAAGGGTGAAAATATGATTTGCATTCCCTGAAGCAAGCGACCGAATCACTGTGTAGGAATACATCATTACTCAGCATTTTTTTGCATACTAATTAACATGAATTAACATTCATAACACATATTTTGATTTTCTCTATTCATGGGAATTATTGGGATTTTTAATTTCGGGTCTCGAGATGAATTTCCAAGATGCAACTACTCGATAAAATCCCGGAAATAGACACACACATAGTATTCATCTTCTAAGCATCTCCCTGAAAGGCAACATTTGATATTGACCTAACCCGTTTTTAACGTTGAAAATCAGTTTCCTACAACATTGTCTCTGAATGCTGCTCCAGTCAATGATCCTTCAACTACCTAAAGAGAGTATGCCTGCAGTGATGTTATAAGATGACAAACAAGCTTCCCATTTCACATAAAGTTTATGTCCAATGTGAAAAAACCCAACTATTTCACGGAGGATATGAACTTTATACGAAATGAGTTCATAGAGTTCCGTATCCTATAAATGATAATGGTTGTAAACTGTCAACAAAATGACGTGACGTTTCTGTGTCCGAACAGAAAAGCAAACAACAGAACGTGTGAAGGAATTAAGGGACATTTCCAGCCTCAACACGTCCTGTTAACAATAACACCCCTTCGAGGAATCAATAGCGATTGCTCTTGTATTTGTCTAATCAAAGGCAATGCTACACTTTCCAACCGCCTTCAATTCCGTTTTGTGTTCTGATGTGTTCATATGAACGAGAACTAGATTTTGTTCAATTCAACAATTGCATGTTACAATTATGCCTCATAAGGTTTAAAACTTTAAAAATGGACATTTTCAGTGAGCCCAAAAGGACCCTGATCCTACCTCGTCCTTTCGTCAACTGGTGAAGCAAGTTCAATCCCATTTTGTCATGATACATGTTAAGATGATATTGGATTGGTAAAACGATACCTGATTTCATATGCTTACCAACTTCAATATTTTCACCAGCAGCTAGTTCCGGGGCCTTTTCTACGGGAGCAGACGACACCAAGGCACACACCAGAACGAGACTGACCCCCAGGACGGAGAGGCTTCTCATCATGGCGGCAGACGACTGAGACAGCGGTTTACTTAGATTCTGAAAGTACAACAATAGGTCACGTAAGGTATAATCAATGATATTAATATGGAATATTATCAACAAGGCTTGATAGAAACCCTAGAGGCATCAAAGATTTACCCACGTGAATTGATCTGATGAAGGTTTTATAGGTGAGTACTTTACTTCTAATTGCGACCAGTCCAGCTTCGCTGAAATGACGGGACCTGTCAGTCAGCACCATACCCGTGCTCGTGGGTTTCACCAAAGTGGGAAACGTCTGATGACTACATCACTTCGAGCGTCCCCACGGTAAGCAAACACACCGTCATGTAAGTAATATACTGTTCAAAGCGGCGTTAAAACTAACTCACTCACTCTGTCATCTACCATTCATCATCAATCATCTAACATCCACCATCTACTATCCACCATCTATTATCTTCCGTTTATCATCTACCATCTACCATACATCAGAACTGTTTGTGCTTTCAACCAGGCACCTAGAAGCTAACACAGCCTTCCAGTGGTTAAACGACCCCAGAACACACTGATTTCATTTCCTGCAACGATCCAGAGACGCCTTGTCAAATTTTGCGTTAATATGTCCCTGATCGAGGCATAACTCGGAATCAAATACTCTTCGTACTTTTCCCCCCGTCACTCTTCATGACAAATGATACGCGGTTTGAAAAAAGAAAAGAGAACATGTACATATGATCAAACCTCTGTTGGAAATAAAACCCAACAGACGCATAACAGTGCCAAAGATTAAAACTGTGAACACGTATTTCAGTTTGTCATATCATGAGTAGGTTTCTCAGCAGGATAAAGCCAACGGACATAACGGCATCCGTTGTTGTCTTTTGAGGGTTTATTATATTTAAGGCTTTTTAATACAATGTTTATTTTTAATACAGGGCACAGTGTATTCTCCATTCACTGTTCCAGAGCTATATACTTGTACTTGTAAACATAGGTCGTCATTCACTGTTCCAGAGCTGTAATCATGTTAATAAGGGTGTCCTACACGGTTCCAGAGCTACATTCTTGTCAATAAGGGTGTCCTGCGCTGTTTCAAAGCTACAAGCTTGTACAAACGGGTGTCCTACACTCTTCCAGAGCTATACTCTTGAACAAATGAGTGTCCTACATCGTTGCAGAGCTATACTCTTGTATGAACAGGTGTCCTAAACCGTTCCAGAGCTATACACTTGTATAAACGGGTGTCCTGCACTGTTCTAGAGCTCCATCGTTGTATAAACAGGCGTCCTATGCTTTTCCAGAGCTATAATCTTGTAAAAACGGGTGTCCTACACTGTTCCAGAGCTATACTCTTATATAAACAGGTGCTCTATGCTTTTTCAGAGCTTCGCCGCTGTATAAACAGTGTCCACTTTCTACTATAATCTTGTAAAAACGGGTGTCCCACACTGTTCCAGAGCTATACTCTCATATAAACAGGTGCCCTATGCTATTTCAGAGCTTCGCCGCTGTATAAACAGTGTCCACTTTCTACTATAATCTTGTAATAACGGGTGTCCCACACTGTTCCAGAGCTATACTCTTATATAAACAGGTGTCCTATGCTATTTCAGAGCTTCACCGCTGTGTAAACGGTGTCCACTTTCTACTTTAATCTTGTAAAAACGGGTGTCCTACACTGTTCCAGAACTATACTCTCATATAAACAGGTGCCCTATGCTATTTCAGAGCCTTACCGCTGTGTAAACGGTGTCCACTTTCTACTATAATCTGGTAAAAACGGGTGTCCTACACTGTTCCAGAACTATACTCTCATATAAACAGGTGCCCTATGCTATTTCAGAGCTTCACCGCTGTATAAACGGTGTCCACTTTCTACTCCGAGTACGTGCCGTGTAGCGTCATGTATGTCGTGCATGTTACGCTTTTAGTTAAGAAGGTCGATTCCGGTAAGGAATTATGTCTCCTGATGCGGTTCTTTACCAGGAACTAAATGTCTTATAGTTTCCATAATTAGTGTGGTGTGGCAAAAGTATCCTCCAAGGTTGAACGCATGTCACACGCAAAGACAAAAACGGTCACGCATTTGCAGTATTGGCCACCGATGTTAGTTGATCAACGAGGTAAAAACAAGTCTTTATATTTCTGCAACTGGCTGTTATTTGAACAAAGGGAAACTGTGTTCCGGAACGTTAACAGTAGAGACTGGCTTCATACAAAGGTCAGACCATGCAGAGTGATTCACGCGAGAAGCTGCTTACACTGACTTGACCTTGTCCACTCAGTGTCATGCAATCGCAATGGCGGCCAATATATGTCCAAGCTTTATTGCTTTGGAACTGGTATACTTATTCATAGGAATTTTCTCTCCCAATGTTTTTTGTGTGCAATTTCTCCGTAAATATAGATAAGGGGGAAACATAGTCTCTCCTCTGCTATTTCTATGTTTTTGTATTGCAGTGGAATGGCAAATATTTTGCGCATTATTGATTATGAAATAATTTTATCTCGACAAGGGTAACAATGAATAAATTAATAGAACACACTATAGAAGAAGTTCCTGTGGATGTTCAAAAAGTAATTGTCAATATTCAAAATGAACGACTCGTATATTGGCTAAAGTAACTTTGCGTGGGAAAAAGTCGGTAGACAATGAAAACACTCATTACAGATATGTCACCCATAAGACACATATGAATCCCTGTGAAAGTTAAAAAAATGTAAAACATTCACTTTTCAAAAAAAAATATCGAAGAAGAGAAAGAGTTCAAGGACTGCAGTTTTCATGTTTTTCGTATCAGAAAAAACATGTTAAGATTAGTATATTTATCCATTATCCATTACCCATTGTATTGAATTACATCTCAGGACGGTGTTCGTCATGCACATACGTACGGCTGCAAGTTGAGAACACTTTCTAGAGCACAATAACTAGAGAAGCTGACAAACAACATTACCACGCGGAATATGATGACCATATTAAGACATACATCGGGAGCAGATTATAAATGACGTCAGTACTCCGACGCGATTATGATTCAAGGACGTAATCAGGGTTATCTCCCTGCTTGACCCGCTTCATGGGCACGCAAACGTTCGGAATCCGGTCCGCGGCAACGTTGTTAGGATAATAGTATTTCATAAGCTTCCTTAAGGCGATCTAAAAATGTTACGGATAATGCACTTCATACGATATCCTGAAGGCTCTGAACGAGAAATGCTGTGATGACCTGAGCGGCTAAATAACGGTTAGTCTGTTTTAATTTGTAGTTCAGCTAGCCTCAGATACAACCAAACTACTCGGCGACACGACGACATTGGATATTGTGAAATATATACACCGGAAAAATGTTAAGCGCCCCTGCTGTTTTCGCCACGAGGTTTGAAAAGCTGTGCGCCGGCCCCAAATCTACGACATCGAAGCCGGCACATGTGCTATTTGCTGAATAGGTAATTCTTTGTTGATAAATAAGAACAAGGACATTTTACAAAATGTGAGTATTATTGCCAAAATTGGTACATGGAGTATCAAGCTACAGGGTGCTCTGGATAGCACTCGCTGGTTGTTCCTGAACATGACAGCTATGGCCCCAAAATGACTTCCTCAGCGATAGAAACTAACATGTTTAGTCCACTATTTTCAAAATGACAATAAAAATGACAAAAGCTAACATGTTTAGTCCACTATTTTTATAATGACAATAAAAATGACAAAAACTAACATGTTTAGTCCACTATTTTTATAATGACAATAAAAATGACAAAAACCCGAAAAAACAATTATAATGACAAAAACCCTAAAAATTCTACTAGTCCTTATGACACCTTGGGCAGTTTGGTAAGGACTACAGGACTAGTGCCAATTTCTATCCTGCTTCCTGTGACGAGATTGTCAGCAGCATGTACAGCTGACGTCACAGAGTCCATCCCTCGTGACGTAGCTCAGGTTTCTGTGTCAAGCTGCTTGTAACCGAACGGTGGTACCGAGATGACGACAAACAACTGTGTAGGACTTGCCTACATTAATGATTAATTCGATGACATGAAGCCCATTTCTGGTGTCCCCCGTTGTGATATTGCTGGAATATTGCTAAAAGCGGCAAAATACCCCATACTCACTCACTCAATGTCTTAAAAGTGGGTTTACGCCAGAACCTGACACGAAGCTGAGTGGAGCGACCTCCAGGTGGAGCAAATCGTCTCACTCAACGAATGTCACGCCTATCACTCCGAGGCCCGAAGTGAGTGTTCAGAGTGAGTGGGTGCGGTTTTACGCTGCTAAGCAACATCACGACGGGGGACGCCTGATATTGTTTGTTTGTTTTCTTTGTTTGTTTGTTGTTTAACGCAGCTCACAGCAACTTTCCAGCTATATGACGGCGTCTGTAAATAATCGAGTCTGGACCAGACACTGCAGTGATTGATGTCATGAGTATCGATCCACGCAATTGGGATACGATGATATGCATCAACCAAGTCAGCGAGCCTGACTACCCGATCCCGTTAGTCGCCTCTTACGACAAGCATGGGTTGCCGCAGAGCTGTTCTGCCCCGGATCTAAACAACAAACAAACAAGTTGACATCCTGTCATCTCTGTCTTCATGCACGTTAGTCACAGATCACTGACAATAAAACGAGAAGCATAACTTACCCATCTGTGTGATCTGTGTAAAACCTACTCGCGCTGGCAACCACTGCGTCAGGACTAATGTACATCGACTGAAGCAATCTACTGGTATGGATCATGTGACGACCTTAGCTAATAGGTTGCCTGTTTACACATGCTAACAACCAATATTGACCTCAGCCTGCAGAAGGTGGTTCTAACATGCCAGGTGCTCCGACAGATGCTCTGGTTGGCTACCGGCTCATTATCATCTCTACGGTTACCGGTATCTCAGTCATCGTCAGCAGCTTAGGGAGTCAACCTGCTAACCATTTACGAGTTACTATGGTGACGGATTAGACGAAACTCAAGGATTATTGGTCAACAGCGGTCATTTCCTGAATGCGAATAATTACCATGCAGAACAATCAGCGAGCTGTTATCATT